ATGGAGGTCGGTAAGTACAAGTTTAAGTATAGTGGGGGTAAAATAAACCCAAACGATTAGGTTAAAGTTCAAAAAGGGTCAAAGATCATCACATGGCACACTAGACGAATATTTCATATTGCGAAGTTATCTCCTGTTGTCGACATTCAGTTACTGCCAATACTGGTGCGGATTCAGAATTTTTTTTTTCGGGAGTAGGGAGGGGGGTTCACATCTCAGTCAAAAAATTCATGCCTAGAATTTCCTGACAAGCAGGAGAAAAAAAACTCATAAACTGAAAACAAATAAACAAAATATTTAAACAATGATAGTGGGGTCAATGTTTTCTAAGTTAGGGGGAGGATGTCCAAAGTCATTTTTTATTTTTTTAAATTCCAGGGGGGGGGGGGGGGTCCAATCTCCATACCCACTCCCTATCCCTGAAATAACAATCTATTTTGTGATTCCAATTAAATAGTATATTTTTTTCCATTTGACAAATTATGTACATATTTTGTTTCTTGTGTTTATATTATGTCTGTCTATTTGTCTGCAGAAATTATAACCTTGCCCATAAGTTTTAAGTGGGATGGGCTATACAAATGGCTTCCACATTTTATAAGTTTATTTCTTGTGACAATTAAGACCTTTTATTTGGGTAACATTAATTTTTACCTCTGATCACTTGACCTAGAATACACATTTTTACAAGAAAAATACCCAACTTTAAACTTGGCCTAAATTTTGATCAGTAGGTGCTAGGGCTTTCATGCTTAACATGTGTATTCATTGTGAACTGTCAACAGGTATTAATATGTTTGACCTTGACCGTAGAGTTTGAACCACTTAAAAAATTATATAACCTTGGCAATTAACTTTTGAACAGGAAGTACTAGGGATTACTTATAAATTTCACATGTGCATTCCTTGTGACAAGACTTTTTTCTGATACCAACAATTTGAACCCTTTGACCTTGACCTTTGAGTTTGACATATATTTGAGAACTTTCAACCTTCGCCATAGGCTTACATACAGGGACATCAGTGTTTCACAAACACATCTTGTCTTCATTATTATTTGGTGGTGTCTCCATATGAGGGAAAAATTCCCGAGAGAGATGTATTCACAACAAACAAACAAATTACTAAAGAAAATATAAAACATGAATATGTTGGTCATGCGTATCTCTGCATGAAAAAAACAGCTTCTCAAATACTGCAACCATATTGTAACCCTTTCAAAACACTCATTTGAGCTTTTCTGGTTTCCTTATCATATAACGTCTGTCGTGACATGTCGTCCGTCTGTTTGTCTGAAAACTTTTTACATTTTTAACTTCTCTAAAGGCCGGTATACACGGTAAGATTTGTATTATAAGATTTGTATTATAATACAAAATCTTATTGTGTATACACCCTTAATACAGTGTATCATAAGATTTTTTGGATCTTATAAAACTGTATTAAGAATAGAGCAATGCTCTATTTCCTACTACAAGTCTTAACTTACCTATCACTTTTAACCAATGAAATGTTATGACACTAAGGGTCAACCTATTTTTACAATTACTAAAAAAGCACATGGTAAATAATAATGGCAGACTTTACAAGTAAAGACATAGAAAAACTCTTGGTTTTATGGGAAGGGGTAGAGGACTTGTGGAATATATCAAGCAGTGCATAATACGATGATGGACACTGCTATCAGAATCTCATCTTCCATTTTTATTATGTTGACAGAGAGAGAAATATGGCGGGGGACAACACGTGGGAATATGTAGTTTATTTACAATCTTATAAGATATGTATTAGCGTGTGTACAAGAAAGTATTATAATACAAACGTATTGTAATACTTGTATTATACTACAAATCTTATCGTGTATACCGGCCTTAAAACCACTGGGCCAATTTTACCCCTGCAATTCATATAGAAATATGTACATTTGTATGTCAGACTGTCCTTCTGTCTGAATAAAATTAACCTTGGTCATCACTGTCATATCTACTGAATGAGAAGAGACAAGGCATTCATATTAAACTTATGTACTAGTATTTACCTGTGAGAATGGCATGGTTTTTTTTTTTTACATATGACCTAGAAGTTTGACCTACTTGCAAAAAAATTAAATTGTTATAAATTCATCATTTTGAAAGAGAAAAGTTAGGGCATTCATATTATAATGCATGTATACTATTACCTGTGATAAGATCTTTCCAAATGAATCATGACTTTTACTCTGTGACCTTGACCTTGAAGCCTAACCTACTTTTCAAAAATGTTGCATTTGCTTATAACTTTTGATTGAGATGAGATATGACTCTCACATTTGACATGTACATTAATTACTCATAAAAATTGAAGGTGTTTCCCAGCAAGCAATGTTTTTTTACTCTTTAACGTTGATGTTTTACATAATTTTCAAAATATTTAACTCTCCTAAAAGATGATTAGGCTTCTGAGTAACATTAAGGAGGACTTCAGGAAAAACAGGACTTTTTGCACAAAAAACATCATTTTT